GCCCCGCCCCTCACGCTGCCTGCCCGCCCCGCCCCTTGTTCCCCGCGGCCGGGGCGGGGAAGGGCCCTGATCTCGGGGCGTCCGGAGCAGCCTCCCCCCAGCCTGACTGTCCGTGTGTGTGTGTGTATCTGTGTGTGTGTGTGTGGGTGGGTGTGTGTATCTGTGTCTGTGTGTGTGTGTCTGTCCGTGTGTGTGTCTGTCCGTGTGTGTCTGGGTGTGTGTGTGTCTGGGTGTGTGTCGTGTATCTGTGTGTGTCTGTGTGTGTATCTGTCTGTGTGTGTGTCTGTGTGTGTGTGTGTGTGTGTGTGTCTGTGTATCTGTCTGTGTGTGTGTGTGTGTCTGTGTGTGTGTGTCTGGGTGTGTGTGTGTCTGGGTGTGTGTGTGTGTCTGTGTGTGTCTGGCTGTCTGTGTGTGTGTGTGTGTCTGTGTGTGCGTGTCTGGGTGTGTGTGTGTCTGGGTGTGCGCACATCTGTGTTTCTGTATCTGTCTGTCTCTGTTTGTGCACGTCTCAGCTACAGGACACGTGTCAGCTGCAGGCCAGTAGCTTGTCCGTGTTGGTGCCTGACCCAGCAGGCTGTGGCGGCAGGGACTGCGCTCAGTGACCCTCCTCCTGCAGACCTACAGCCTCGACGGTCGTTAGGTACCTAACTCCCATGGGAAGCAATTAGACTTAGGCACCTAGATAGCTTTGGGGATCTGGACCTTGTGCTCAGGCTCCCTCCCCATACCCCAGAAGCAGGAACCCTGCCACACGGTCGGGCCACTGGACGAGGCAGGGGCTACAGCAGCACGCCAGGAAGCCAAGGCCCTTGCGGAGAAGCTACAAGCACTTTGTGTCAGTCCTCGCTGCAGAGGATGCGAGGGAGATTTCTGTGCCCAAGCCATTCTCGGTAGGCGGTAAATCTGCAGAACTGTCCCTGATGGAGAAGTGTCAGCAGAGGAGGGGTTAGAACGAATGGATCAAGTTAAACAAGTCACCAGACCCACATGGTATTCACCAAGTGTCCTGAAGGAATGACGTGGAGAAAGTAAGGGCTGTTGATGCCTTTAGAGAACACAAGAACCAGGGGTCACCCAAACGAATTAAGAGAGAGTGGATTTAAATGGAACCAAAAGAAGTATTTCTTCACACCATGCACAGCCAACCTGTGGAACTCCTTGCTGGTTAATGTTGTGAAGGCCAAATGATAAGTTTCTGAAGGATAGATCCATCAATAGCTACTTGCCAAGATAGGCAAGGATGGAACCCCCTGCTCGCCTGAACGCCTCCCTACCCAGGGTGTCTCACTGCCCCCTATAACCTCCTGAACCCCTCCCTGCCCAGGGTGACCCACTGCCCCCCCACCCCCAGCAGCTTGAACACCTCCCTGGCTGGGTTGCCCTGCATCCCTCCCTCTCCCCGCCCCCACAATGGCCCCTTGAATGCCTCCCTGCCCAAGATACCCTGTGGGCCCCTCCAACTCTTCCCTTAACAGGGCACCGTGCAGCGCCCCTCCCCCGCACCTCTCCCTGCAGCCCCACCCCTTGAGCCTCTCCCCTTTGTTTGCCAGAAGCTGGGAATGGGCGACGGGGTCTGGACCAGTCAGCAGTTGCCTGTTCTGTTGGATGCCTGTGAAGCTGGGCTACTGGGCTAGATAGACCTTTGCTCTGCCCCTCTGTGCCAGCCAGGCTAGCCCAGCCCCACAGCAGCAGTAACCGTGCACAGACACTAGGGTCTCATAGCGAAGTACCGCAGCGCCCTCTGGTGGCCACAGACTGTCTGCTCCTGCAGATTCTCCAGTGCTCCAAAACAGTGTGTTATTTGGATGCCTGTGAAGCTGGGCTACTGGGCTAGATAGACCTTTGCTCTGCCCCTCTGTGCCAGCCAGGCTAGCCCAGCCCCACAGCAGCAGTAACCGTGCACAGACACTAGGGTCTCATAGCGAAGTACCGCAGCGCCCTCTGGTGGCCACAGACTGTCTGCTCCTGCAGATTCTCCAGTGCTCCAAAACAGTGTGTTATGGCTAATGGTACTGGGGTAGCAGCTAACAGCCGCCCCCCAGACCAGAACCCCTTGCGCTAGGCGCTGTATAAACACAGAGTGAAAAGCTGAGGGGGCAAAGCCAGCAGCCTATAGCTTAATTAGCTAGATTCTTCCTCTTGCTTTGCATCTCTACCCCCCCAGTCCACCCCACAAAATGCTGCTTTCCTTTCTAGTTTTCAAACGGGCTAACGTCAGCCCTCCCATGGGCCACGTGCGGTTTCCCAGGATGCTGGTGAAGTGTCTGCCACAATTTGGCTGTAACAAATCCAAAGGGGGGTTCCTTATCGAGCTGGTTGGCTGATGACGGACCGTGGCATTCTCTGGATCCCAAGCTCGCCACCAACCCTCTTTGCTAGTGTCACCCCGCAGACCTTAGCCTGGGATGCAATTTCAAACGTAGATGTAAACTGTGCTCTGGCAGAAGTGAAAGAGGAATCAGAGCCACTGCTCTATTTATAGTCCAGGAGGTACTTGCTGAGGGAGGGCAGCGTGACCTAATGGTGAGGACCCTCACTGAGGACTAACCAGCTCCTAGCAATTCACCGTCCACTTCTGTAAAATGAGGCAAGTGAAACTGACAGCCCTTGTGAGGCTCTGAGATCTGCGGGTGAGAAGCGCGACGTGAGGTTGGGACCCAGAGGGAGCGTCGGCGGTTCACCGCGTGGGGGGTAGCAGGAAGCTGGGCTGCAGGAAAAGGCATGTTACAAATCAGAGCAATTTTATTTGACGCCATCATAACTGCTCAAGCATATTCACATCCAGGCACAGTGACTCCAGACCTCCAGTACCATAGAAGAAACGAACTCCAGTGATCAACAGCAAAAACCACCCCCCGTGCACACCTAATAATTTAACTCCCCAGCCGGGGGCACCGAGGGAGTGTGTCAGAGTGGGCAGGGCAGGAAACCATCATCCTTGCAGGTCCCTTTATTGTAAACCAGGGCGGTGCCCCCAATGAAAGCGCTGTGTGATGCCTGCAAGAATGCCCCCCAGCAAGAGTGCGCGAGTGGCTGGCGCCCAGGGAGCGCTGGGAACGGAACACTGCCTGCCAGCCAACAGCAGGAAAACTCAGCTGCATGGTTGGGATGGGACAGGGGGACCTGCTGAGGCCTGCAGCAAACCAAGGGCAGCACAGGGGGGCAGCAGAGGGCTGACAGGGGCAGGTCTCACAGCGACACGGTGGCAGGGTCTGGGGTAATCCGCACCCCCGGCCAGGCCAGGCCAGGTGCAGGGGTAGGCCCTGCGCTGCCCCCAGGAAACGGGGCCCAGCGGCTCCAGGCTTAGGCAGATCCAGCCACGAGGCTGCGGGCAGTGGGGAGGGGCAGAGGCTGGTGCTGCAAACGGCCGCAAGGTCCCCCCGACTCAGCACCTCCATGGGCACGCAGAGCAGAGTCCGGCTTTCCTGTGGCGGCCCCGGCTTGGGGGTGGGGCTGGGTCGGCAGGGGAGGCCTAGTGCCCCACAGGGAGCAAGATCAGCCCCTGCTTTGGAAGTCTCCCGGCTGGGCTGGGGCTTGCAGGGCCCAGGTCTGTGCATCCGGAGGAGTCGGAAAGGGCCAGGCTGCGTGCGACCTGGGCACGGGCCTAGCTCTGCCACAACGCCCCGGCCGGAAAGGCCTTTTTCCTCCTCCTCGGAGAGCTGAGCTCCACTGAGTGTGTCGCTTTGGGGAGGGGAGCTCCTCCCCCCACCATCCACCCTCCCCCAACCACAGGCACGGCTCTCCACCAGCCAGGCCCCGGCTGCAACCCGCGCCCCTCCCCCACCGGAGACAAGCAGGGAAGGGTACCAGTAGCTCTCACATAAACTCCAGTGGCAAAACATCCAGTGTCCAGGGCGGCGCAGGGGCCGTGAGGCGTTGCCTGGCTTCTTCCTCCTGGCAGGACAGGGGCCGCGTTCCGGGTCCTGGTGCCACTTTCCCCTTCTGTCAAGGGGCAGAACACCCGGGCGGGCCCGGCGTCGGCGTGTGCCAGGGAGACGCAGCGACCGTGAACGTGCATCAGACAGCACGTGGGCAGGGCCCGGCTTCCGTCATCACACGGGTGAATCGGTGCACGAGGAGCCATGTGTGCAGACGGATGGAGGGGCAGGGTGAGCATCCATGTGCAAAGAGTTAAAGCTGGGCACCGTGCACTAGTCACCCATGTGCAAGAACATGACAGTGAGGGGGTGTCACGTGGTCCTGACACAACTCATGCCAACGGGCTGTAGGAATCATGAGCCGTAGCAGCCGAGAGTGTGCGGGGACCTGACAGCACGAGAGATCATCTCCACATGCGTGTGTGCACGGTGAGGAGGCAGAGCTATGCTTTGTGTGCACAAGAGCACTGGGGAAGGTCCAGCTAAGTGTGCACAAGGATGTGGTAGAGACACCGTGGGGTTGTGCAAGATCACATGCTGTCGGTGCGCAAGGAGGCACTTTTCCGTACATGTGAGCATGACAGGAAGCGAGAGAGCCGGGGGGGCTGGGGCACACACAACGCACAGCAATTGTGCCCAGATAGACGAGATTGTGTCAATATGTGGGAAATAACCACTTTGTGCAAAACAAAAAGCTCCTCGTGTTCCCACTGGCAGGATCGTGTTGCACGGCTGCTCCCTGGCATGTGTAGTTTGCTCCCGTGCCACTCCAGAAAGTTCTGGGGCTGCAGGATAACTTGCCGGCAGGGGCTGGTCCGTGGGCTACTTGCACACAGCAGCGACGTGCGCAGAGAGGCAAGCTGAGGAGACGCTGGCAGGACGACGGGGGCGGGGAGCGGGGGCTCAGTAGTACTTTTCTGACTCCTGCCAGTTTGTTACCCAGTGTTTCTTGTGCTTCCGGGGCAGGAAGCTGTCAGCAGGCTGGCATCGCTCCTCCTGGCGGATCCGCACAGCATGGTACTTGGGCATGATCCGGTAATAGCGGGTCCGCTTGAAGAAGTCGCACTGCAAGGAGTGGAGAGGAGGGGGTGGAGTTAGCGTCAAACTTTGGTGACCAGAGAAAGGGAGAAATCAGAGAAGAGACATCAGGGACAGAAATCAGAGAAACCTCCGAATAAAATGAGAGAGAAAATCAGAGATGAAAAGGAGAAAAGACCAAAGCAGAGAAAGAAAACAAAATCAGAAAAATAGAAACAAACGAAACAGGGCACAAACAAGAAGAGACAGGCGGACAGCCAGACAGCCGGACGCAGGAGACGCAGCTGCTGAGAGAAACACTTGGTCAGTGACGCTGGAAAGGGGGAGACAGACGTTAGCGTTAGTTAAACCGCAGCACAATAGGACAGACGGACAGACAGATGGAAGTCGGCGTGCGTGGAGCTGCTGGTTCTCCTTCCTGTCTGCAGTTCTACCCCTGGGGAGCAATGTTCCCTCATTTTTCCATCCATGTGCAGAATACATTTTGTTCCGTGCACCGAGACATGTGCAAAAGTGCACCACCCACAGGAACACAGGCTGCTGGCTGTGGGCACTCCGCTGATCAGCTGGGCGGCATGTGAAGCTCTCCTGGGCGCCGCCCAAGCGCTCAGCTCCCAAGCAGCGCTGCTGGGCAGTTAGTGGGCAGACCTGGGGGCTGTTTGGTCCTTCGTGGGGCGATCCAGTTTACCTCGTTCTGCATCAGCGCCCCTCTAGTGTCCCGGCCCATTGCTCTACCTGTCAGAGGGGCTCCTCTAACTGCCCACGGGTGCAGCTGTCTCCAGCGCCAGGCTCAGCCCATGCCACTGCGCACATGAGGAGCAGTGATGTGTCAGGCACAAGCATCCCTAATGCAGCTGTGCACAGAGTGCAAACAGTCGCACGCTGCCACAGACCGACCGCGCCTCTCCCTCCTCCAGTGTCTGCCGCTGTATCCCCTGGGTACCCTCCTCTTTTGCCCCGGGGGGCTTCTACTGCAGGGTGCTAAGGGCAGACCCTGAGCTAGCCAAGAAACACCCCCGGGCTGCCCCGGAGCTGGGGGAGCCAGGGAAAAGCAGAGGGCGGTTCGCCCTTAGGGGAGTGTCCACTGAAGTGCCACCCAATGATCTGTTCCCTGAGCACACAGAGGACCCGGCGGGCCCCTTGGCGGAGAGATGCAGCCCAGGGGCTTCTACTGCAGGGTGCTAAGGGCAGACCCTGAGCTAGCCAAGAAACACCCCCGGGCTGCCCCGGAGCTGGGGGAGCCAGGGAAAAGCAGAGGGCGGTTCGCCCTTAGGGGAGTGTCCACTGAAGTGCCACCCAATGATCTGTTCCCTGAGCACACAGAGGACCCGGCGGGCCCCTTGGCGGAGAGATGCAGCCCAGGCAGAGAAGGGGGGCAGGGGAAGGCGTGACAGAGACAGGGAGGGAGAAGCCAACACCCCACAGGCCCCTCCCTGCCCCGGTCATTACCCAGAGGATGGAGTGGGCTCTCAGGGCAAAGGGGAGCTAGTAGTCGTCGGTCAGCCGCTCCGTTTCAGACGGCTGGATCTTCATCTCCGCTTTCTGGCCCTTGGCCTCGTACATGGCGCGCGTGCTCGCCCTCCGGAAGAAGCCGCACTGCGAGGAAGCAGGTGACACGGGTCAGGGGCGATGGGGGGCCCCGGATGAGGAAATGCTCCAGCCCAGAGGTGGCTGCTTGTCCGTGGCCGAGGGGCTGATCTCTGTGCGTATCCATGTACAGAAGGCGCCGGGCGGGGGTGGGCTAGGGACGTGGCGGTACTTCCCAATCAGCTGGGCCATTTTGTCTTCCCAAAAACTGCCCGAGGGGCTGATCTCTGTGCGTATCCATGTACAGAAGGCGCCGGGCGGGGGTGGGCTAGGGACGTGGCGGTACTTCCCAATCAGCTTTGCCATTTTGGCTTCCAAAAAACTGCTTGGCTCCCCACATCCCGCCCTGTCGCGGGGCTTGAGCTCCCGTTCGCTCCTGCCCGCCTAGGGGCAGAGCTGCAGCCGTCCGGAGCCTACTCCGGATCACACACCCCACTTCAGGTCCTGCTGTGGAACTAGAGGGGAAAAACCCTCCTGACCCTCGGATCCCCAGGGGGCGCTTGCTGGCTTGGAAGGGGTCCTCCCCAGGGCCCCCTCTGCAGCATCTGGAGCAGCCCAGTGAGTGGAGGCAAAGGCGGCTCTGGGTCTGGTGGATGAGGCAGAGCGGCCGTGGACTGCTCTCCTTTCCACCCAAGGGCCGTCCCGCCGCCCAGGGCTCAGTGGACGCGGCCACACCCCGAGCATCCCTGGGGCATGGACGTGGCCGGCCACAGGGCTGGGCGGAGCGGGGGCAGCAGGTCTGCCAACCCTTTGCCACTGAAGGGTTCCCCGAGTCGGGGGGATACGTGGGGGTCCCAGCTCCTCTAGGATCGGGGCCGCTATCTCGTGCCCAGTAGGGGGCGCTGTTCCCCCCGAGCCTTGCCCGGTAGGGGGGCGCTGTTCCCCCGGAGTCTTGCCCAGTAGGGGGCGCTGTTCCCCCCGAGCCTTGCCCGGTAGGGGGGCGCTGTTCCCCCGGAGTCTTGCCCAGTAGGGGGCGCTGTTCCCCCCGAGCCTTGCCCGGTAGGGGGGCGCTGTTCCCCCGGAGTCTTGCCCAGTAGGGGGCGCTGTTCCCCCCGAGCCTTGCCCGGTAGGGGGGCGCTGTTCCCCCGGAGTCTTGCCCAGTAGGGGGCGCTGTTCCCCCCGAGCCTTGCCCGGTAGGGGGGCGCTGTTCCCCCGGAGTCTTGCCCAGTAGGGGGCGCTGTTCCCCCCGAGCCTTGCCCGGTAGGGGGGCGCTGTTCCCCCGGAGTCTTGCCCAGTAGGGGGCGCTGTTCCCCCCGAGCCTTGCCCGGTAGGGGGGCGCTGTTCCCCCGGAGTCTTGCCCAGTAGGGGGCGCTGTTCCCCCCGAGCCTTGCCCGGTAGGGGGGCGCTGTTCCCCCGGAGTCTTGCCCAGTAGGGGGCGCTGTTCCCCCCGAGCCTTGCCCGGTAGGGGGGCGCTGTTCCCCCGGAGTCTTGCCCAGTAGGGGGCGCTGTTCCCCCCGAGCCTTGCCCGGTAGGGGGGCGCTGTTCCCCCGGAGTCTTGCCCAGTAGGGGGCGCTGTTCCCCCCGAGCCTTGCCCGGTAGGGGGGCGCTGTTCCCCCGGAGTCTTGCCCAGTAGGGGGCGCTGTTCCCCCCGAGCCTTGCCCGGTAGGGGGGCGCTGTTCCCCCGGAGTCTTGCCCAGTAGGGGGCGCTGTTCCCCCCGAGCCTTGCCCGGTAGGGGGGCGCTGTTCCCCCGGAGTCTTGCCCAGTAGGGGGCGCTGTTCCCCCCGAGCCTTGCCCGGTAGGGGGGGCGCTGTTCCCCCCGAGCCTTGCCCGGTAGGGGGGGCGCTGTTCCCCCCGAGCCTTGCCCGGTAGGGGGGGCGCTGTTCCCCCCGAGCCTTGCCCGGTAGGGGGGGCGCTGTTCCCCCCGAGCCTTGCCCGGTAGGGGGGGCGCTGTTCCCCCCGAGCCTTGCCCGGTAGGGGGGGCGCTGTTCCCCCCGAGCCTTGCCCGGTAGGGGGGGCGCTGTTCCCCCCGAGCCTTGCCCGGTAGGGGGGGCGCTGTTCCCCCCGAGCCTTGCCCGGTAGGGGGGGCGCTGTTCCCCCCGAGCCTTGCCCGGTAGGGGGGGCGCTGTTCCCCCCGAGCCTTGCCCGGTAGGGGGGGCGCTGTTCCCCCCGAGCCTTGCCCGGTAGGGGGGGCGCTGTTCCCCCCGAGCCTTGCCCGGTAGGGGGGGCGCTGTTCCCCCCGAGCCTTGCCCGGTAGGGGGGGCGCTGTTCCCCCCGAGCCTTGCCCGGTAGGGGGGGCGCTGTTCCCCCCGAGCCTTGCCCGGTAGGGGGGGCGCTGTTCCCCCCGAGCCTTGCCCGGTAGGGGGGGCGCTGTTCCCCCCGAGCCTTGCCCGGTAGGGGGGGCGCTGTTCCCCCCGAGCCTTGCCCGGTAGGGGGGGCGCTGTTCCCCCCGAGCCTTGCCCGGTAGGGGGGGCGCTGTTCCCCCCGAGCCTTGCCCGGTAGGGGGGGCGCTGTTCCCCCCGAGCCTTGCCCGGTAGGGGGGGCGCTGTTCCCCCCGAGCCTTGCCCGGTAGGGGGGGCGCTGTTCCCCCCGAGCCTTGCCCGGTAGGGGGGGCGCTGTTCCCCCCGAGCCTTGCCCGGTAGGGGGGGCGCTGTTCCCCCCGAGCCTTGCCCGGTAGGGGGGGCGCTGTTCCCCCCGAGCCTTGCCCGGTAGGGGGGGCGCTGTTCCCCCCGAGCCTTGCCCGGTAGGGGGGGCGCTGTTCCCCCTCTGCGCCAAGCAGCCCCCTCACCTTCCACAGCAGCAGGATGATCAGGCCCAGCTGCTGCAGCCCTGCCCCCACCGCCACCAGCACC